AAGAACTTGGGACAGTGGTTCAGATGCCACGTGGGACACCCTCACCCCATATTGGAGTGCTTAGTTTTGAGTTCTGGCTCTGCTTCAGATTCCAATTTCCTGCTAATACACACACTGGCAGTAACAGGGGATGATTCAAGTACTTGTGTCCCTGCCACCTGGAGACCCAGACCGAAATCCAGGGTCCTGGCTTCTGTCTGACCCATTTCTGGCTGTTGTGGGCAGATGGGCAGTGAACCAGTGGATGGAAGATCAATATCTCTCTTTCTCCATCTCTCTCTCTCTTCCCCCTCCCTTTCAGATAAAACAAAAATAAACATATAGGTACTTCTAACGTCACATAAGAGCGTACCTAAACCTCAGAGATGGTAAATAAATAAGGACATGAGTGCAGAGGCTACCAACTCATTCTTACCCTAACTGTTCCCTTCTACACTATCATGGAAAGAAGGGTCTCTTCTCTCCTTTCCTCCCAAATAATGCAAATGCATATTATTGGTAGAACCTAAATCATGTGGAAGTGCAGTCGTTAGCAATCCAGCCCTACAATACAGGAAGAAGGGACATAGAACATTGCAGAAACTGTGCACTAGAGCCAAGAGACAATATATACTGCATCTTTAAGTGATCTTTAAATAACACAATCTAATTTGCCATTATGTTAAAAGCTTTTTATTTACATATGTGAGAGATGTTAATATGTAAGGACTTTCTAGTGAAGTTTCAGATCAAAGTGTTATTGATTGCTAAGCTTGGTCAACATTCATTCTCCTTGCCCTGTTTGTCTCATCCTACCTGTTATGATTGGATAATAGTTTGGATGTCTCCCAAAGGTCCATGTGTTGAAGGATTGGTTTTCACACTAGTATGTTAATGGTTGATATACTAATGTTATTGACTAATGGATTAATGGTGGAGACTTGATACAATAATGCTGTTAATTAGGAGATGGGCCCAGTGGGAGATCCTTAGGGCACTGGGGGATGCCCTCAGAAAGTAGTTTTCAGGAGACGTTTGGTTATATAAACTGAGTTCAGTTCAGCTATTCTTCCTCTGTTTTCTGGCTTTCTATGTAATGCTGCATAGTTCCATCATCTACCAACCTCAACAGGCCCAGACAAATGGGACCACCCAATCTTAGACTGTGAACCTCCAAAACCATGAGTGAAAGTAAACATTTTCCTTTGTAAGTTGAACTCTGTCAAGTATTTTAATTAAGACAACCAAAAGCTAATATACTACCCCGTTACCATCTTAACTCAATTTTTCTCATTGTTCTCCAGATTCCATTAGACAATTTATGAAAATTGAAAGAGTTTATTACATAATAGAAACTTTATAAATACTAGTTATTTGAATGAATGAGTGAGTACTTTATTCAGGTGTAATGATTTTTTTAAAGATGTATTTATTTCTTTGAAATAGAGAGAGAGGTCTTCAGTCTGCTGGTTCACTTCCCCACATGGCTACAAAATCTAGGTCTTGGCCAGGCTGAAGCCAGGAAACAGGATCTCCATCTGGGTCTCCCACGTGGGAGACAGGAACTCAAATACTTGGCATACCATCCCCTGCTTTCCTAGGCACATTACAAGAAGTTAATTGGAAATAGCAGAGTAGCCAGTACTCAAACTGGTATTCCAATATGTTGCAAGTGGTAGTTTAATGGGCTGCACCACAACAATGGTACCTTTAATGGTGACTCATCTGCATCAACTTCATTGGACCACAGAGCACCCAGATGAAACACCATTTCTGAGTGTAGACAGATGTGAGGGAGTGATGGTATTTCCAGAGGAGATTAACATTTTAATCAGTAGGTTCTGTAAAATAGATTATGCTCTCCAGTGCAACCAGGTACTACCCAATCCACTGGGGACCTGAACGGAGCAAAGGGTGGAGGAAAAAGAAATTTTTCCCATTTTTCCTGGCCACCTGTTCTACTTGAGATGTCTCATCTTATCTTTTCCTGCCCTTGAGCTGGGATTTACACCATCAGCTCCCTGCTTCACAGGCCTTCAGTCAGGCTGAACTACAACCTCTGACTTCTACATTTCCAGCTGGCAGATGGCAGACATGGGCCTTCTCCGTCTTCATGATATTATTCCTTTTATATATTACATACATGTTGAGCGTCTCTGATCAAAAAACCAGAAGTCCAAAATGCTCCAGAATTTGAAAGTCTTTGAGCACTGACACAATGCCATGAACAGAGACTTCCACATATGATCTCATAGGATCTTATGAAGCTAAAATGTAAACATACTAAAAATATGCATAAAATTACCTTCTGGTTTTGTGTATAAGGTGTGTATGTAGCATGAGTGACTTCTGTGTTTCTACTTGAGTCCCATTCCCAAGATATCTCACCAATATGCAAATACTCCAAAATCTGGAAAAAATACAAAATCCTAAATACTTCTGGATAAGGGATATTTAGCCTGTATCTCCTTTTGTATATAAATAAACAAAATCCTCATTTATAATATATAGTCTATTGATTATTGCCCTCTGGAGAACCCTGGCTGTTACTCATATTCTCTTCATTCTTGCTCCTTTCCCCTTCTTATTTCCCTCACAATTTCATAATCCAAGGCGGTACTGCTTGAAGTCAGCAGCATTCTCTTTCCCTTTCATCAAGGTGGTCAAGTAACACCTGCGACATCCATTCATAGTTAGTTTCTCAACTGGAACTCTTTGGCCTCTCAGAGGACATTTGGCAGTGTCGGGAGACATTTTGGGTTAGGAGAGGTGCTGTTTGCAAATAAAGAGTAGAGGCCCAAGATGCTGCTCAGCTTCCTACTATAGGAAAGCCCTTCTATAGCATAGCCCTCAAAGTGTCACCTCAAAGTCTCCAAAATCAATGGTGCTGAGGTTGAGAAATCCTGGGTTAGAATACAGAGGAAGAAAAAAAAAATGTGGGAGGGGAGGAGGAATTGAATGCAAAAGGAGGAAAGATCCAATAGGGGCTGACAACCTTTTTCTGGAAAGGACCTAATGGCAAATACTTGAGGCTTTGCAGAACTCACATCTTTATGGCAGTTACTCCGCCCTGCTGTTGTTGCAGGAAAGAGCCATAGTCAGTACGCAAATGAGTGTACATGGCTGTGATCAGTGAAACCTCAAGGACATTGACATTTGAAAGCCATATCATTTTCATGTCATGAATTATTACTCATTCTTTGATTTTTTTTCAACTGTTTGAAAATGTAAAAACTAGCTGTAGCTTGCAGACTGGCAGAAACTCTAACCGCTTCAACAGAGGAAAAAGGAAGAGAGAGAATGGGGAATAAATGATTATGTCAGAGCACCACAGCATTTTCGTGTCTGCATCTGCGAGATTAGGCTGGATTATGCTAAAGTAGCAAACAACCTCAAACTCTCAGCAGTTTACAATTACAAAGGTGGATTTCTCATTCACAATACATGTGTACTATGCACTGGCTAAATTCTGCCCCATGCTGTTTTTATCCTGGAATTCAGGGTGGGAGGGTAGCCTCCCTCTGGAACATTGCTGGATCTGGTAGCAGAAGCAAAACAGAGAGCATGGCACACCAGATGTTGGCTCTGGACACTTCTGCCTAAAATAAGACACACATCACTTTCTCCCATATGTCACTGCCCAAAGCAAGTCACAAACCTATGCTAAACATCAATGGGGTGGACAGTAGAATCTTCTCCCAGGCAGAGGCAGTGACTGGGAACAACCAAGTTTAACACAATGCCTTTTGTTGTTTAAGATTAATTATTCCTGAGCCCAGGTTTGCCATATTCTTCAAATGAGCATCTTACACAAGGATGGAGAGATTTCCAAGTGACAATAGTAGCAGCTAATGTTTACTGAGTGGTTATTGTTCTCCATACATGCATCTCCACGTGAGTTTTTGCATTTAATCCAAACAACAACCCGCTGAGGTAGTCATCCCTTTTATCCCCACTTTATAGATGAGAAAACTGAGTAACAGAGAGACTAAAACACTCAACTACCAAGAAGCAGAAACTCAAACCCAAGTAAAGCTTCTGTTTCTACTATAGCATAGATTAAGAACATAGGTTCTGTTGACTAACTGCCTAGGTTCAAATCCTGGCCAGTGCCAGATACTACTTTTATGGACTTGGGAAGGTCTGTAACTTATTCATCTGTTTCTTCTGTCTACCAAACAGGAATAACAACATGGTATACTTCCTGGGGTTTTTCTAAAGAGTAAATTTTAAAATTAATGTATGTTGAGTGCTACTGTTTAGTGCTAATAGTGCTTGGTGCAAAAAAATACCCAAACCATCCACATATTTGCTGAATATTATTACTACTATTATCATTCCTATTATTATTAAGCCATGTTTTAGAAAGCTTTGTTGATAATTCAAATCATTTCCCTCTACTTTCTCCTCATCCCCAACCCTCTTGCAGAATTATTGTTCCATATTTTTGTCTCTACCTGTATTTATCTATTCCTGGACTATCACTTCATCAACCTGGAGAATAAACCAAGAACACTATTGCCTTCCACCTGGCTGTATGTCTCATCTTTGCTTCTCAAACCTTCCTGAATGGTCAGTTTCCCATTTTTGGTTTATGATTTAAACTCGCAGTTTATATTTATGTGGGTGCATAGCAATGATCTGGAATACAGAAGTAGGTTGCCTGGGGGGACACAGTAACACCAGCCTTGTTTCTTGCTACATGATCTTGTTGATTGTATTTTCAAGTGAATTCTTAAAATCTGATGATTGTATTATGATTTAATTTTTGGAAACAACATAGAGTATTAAATTCACCTCCCTGTGAAAACTGTGGCAATACCATAGATCTAACCTATTGGACATCAGCGTTTTAAAAATCATGGGCTGTTTTGAGAATAACCTGATGATCTAGTAGACTGATGGTGAGAAAGAACACACAGCACTTTCCACATGGGGTAAGGAGAACTCCAGAATTGGTTCCCAATTTTCAGCTTAAATTGGGATGAACAGAATTCGGAATGAAATGGAATGAGGCAGAATCACTTTAAAAAAGTCGGAATCTCTTTTATTTACAAGTATCATCCCTCCAAAAATTTCCTAATGATTTATGATGTTAACAGGCGTTTGCTTCTGAAATAATTTCAAGTAATCTTTTTAAAATGTCTGGAAATTTCTTTCTTTTTTTTTCTTTTTTTTTTTTTTTTTGCCTTTTTTCCTCCCCAGTCTCTATGTGAATCTTCTAGGTTGGATGCACAGATTAAGAAAGTGACAATTAGGAAAAAGCAGTAGGAAAGGTTCTACAGATTCAGAACACAGGATTAGGGTGTATTGCTGCATAAATGAAGTCAAAGCTAAGATTTTGATGGTTCCCAGGTGCTTTGATTCTCATCAAGTCAAATCTAAATTGTCTTGTTTTCATGACTTCAAATCATTCAGGTTTTCTGGAGACAGGACTGGAACATAGCCATCTGCCATCTTTTCTGCCTATTTGACTCATACTGTAGACATGTCAGGCATCAAGTCCCATATTAAACATATTCTTGCCTACAGCTTCTACAAAAGTGATTTCTTTAATCACGTCTTGCATATAAACTTGATCAGTGCTAATCTGTATGGATTAGGATGTAAAGGTTTATACATAAAATATATCTGTAAGAAGATAGCCTCACATATGTGGAGTCATGCTGGAGACATCCACAAGTTTTCCTATTTTCACACTTTGTTTGCTAGATGAGGTCCAAACTAAATTCTAATTCCATTTAGATTTACGTACAAATTTACTTTCCTTCTTTCTTGAACACTTTCCAATTATTTGCCCTTTTTCTCTAGGATCCATGGAGTCAAGTTAAGCACTGTGGTCCCTCTAATTTCATAGCATATCCGGAGGAGCTTTGTAAGGAATAAACAAGATGACAGAGTACCAGGCATGAAAAGGTGGGTTCTTCAATCATATTTGCAATGTGCTAAATTATTTGGGGGGAATGCCATACTCATTTTTATTCAAGAGTAAAGTGACACTGGATAACAGAATTTTTAAAAGATAATCATTCAGATTTATTTTTAAAAAAGAGAGGAGTTCATTTGTTGGTTTTTTCAGAGTAAAGGCAACAGTCAGCCATTTCTTGGCTAATTCACGCAATCTTCAAGCAAAGTTTAAGCCCAGCTTACTTTGGTAGGATTTAAAGTAGTAAGACATATGTGAATAAAATGATATTAGGTCTGTGTAATTCTGAATGATAAAATAAAGATTAAGATGGTAATATTGGTCCCTCAAGTACTGGTATTTAAACTTTAAAAATCAATCAAGACAGAAGATTAAGTGGTGTTTCTTTGGTACTAGAAACGTAAAGCTAAGACCAAATTGTTCTCTTTTCACAGATTTAAGATACAAAGGATGATATTTAAAGACATTAAAATGACTATTAAATTGCCTTACATTGGTAAAGAGTTTCCCATGAAGTACACTTAGAAGAAATCCCTGAGTGTATTAAATACTCCATTAGTATCTTCCTTCATAAAAAAAAAAAAAAAAAAGAATGAGAGAGAGAGGGACAATTTGAAAGCTTTCCAAGACACATAAATACAGTACTTAGGAAAGCAGTATCTATTGATAAGGCTTCCTCTGTAGTGCTCGTCAATCAGGCCACCAAATGCCTGACAGGAGAAACCGCAGATTCACACAATCAACACATAACATCTGAAGACACTATTCATTCCTAGCGAAGTCAGTAAACCACTCTCTGATGGCGCCTCTGTTGAGTCTGACCCACTCAATGTTGTTTTTCACCGTCTCCAGGACTTGTTGCCTAGGTGTTTCTCCTGCTCCCGCATTGGGGTATTTTGCGAAAAAGCTCTCCATCTAGAAAACAAAGGGAAATAATCAAGAAAGTCACTCCAAGCTCAATGATTCCTCAAGAATTTCATCTGCAAGCTGGATTTGTTTCCTTCTCATCTGGAAATTCAATACTGAGATACATTCTTGGCCCAGCATTCAGACTGAGCCCATCTCTCAGATTAGCACCATTGCCCTGGCTGTCAGACTCCTGCTGACATCAAGCTAACAGGCATGGGATGTGCTGGGAAGGAGGGCGGCATGCCAGAGGCCAGCACCACTATTTCTGCTGCTGCTGCTGCTTTCTTATTTCCTGGGTTTTCCCCAAGGTGTTCCCTGGAAACTATGGCAGAATAGCGGTTTTGCACATTCTTTCCCTCCAATTCAACTGCTGTTTATAGAAGTAAGAAGTATTTTGTCTCTTAACATATGCAAGATCTTAAAATCCCAGTATCTAACACACAGGTATGGAAACGTCATAAGTCTGTCCAGTTTTAATGGACATTTTCCCCTCTGGATACTTGAGAGATTTGGAATTACTTTTGAAAGTCCCAAACTATGCATTCCAAGCGGAATAATGTCTTGACCAATTTATTCTAGAGTTACGTTTACCAGGAAAGGGAGACACACTACTAATGCTCTGGTGAATCGGACAGTCTCCAAACTTTCTCAACTATGAAACTTTGCTTCATGGTCAGTTGAATTTTTTTTTCCAGTTTGGAATGAAGGAGGTGTAGACTTTATTAGATACAATAATTATTTCTTTCTCATTGTCTTCTGTGATTCAAATGGAGACTATTCTATTTCTATTTGAGAGAAAGCTCCCAGAAAAGCATGAAGGACTTGATCTTCGTACCTCCCAGAGTCGCAGTTCAGAGTTGAATGGCTCTGCTATGGTGACAATCCGGCCAAGATTTCTGTCATTGATTGTGAATCTGAAGAGAAATTTAGAGGAATGAAAGGGAGTATAAGTTCCTAGAACTTCAAATCTTTTTCTAGATGCAGACATTTCTGTTTCATGAACATGTGTGTGTGTGTGTGTGTGTATTTCAAAGTAATTTTCAGAATAAGCTAAAGACAGAAAACACATGCAAGTTAAACTAATTCTGTTTAGCCGAAATTTTTAAGACATTCGGTACTTTTTTTAAAAAGATTTATTTATTTATTCAAAGGGCATGGTTACAAAGAGAGAGGGAGAGAAACACACACACACACACTCAGAAAGAGAGAGGGAGAGAGGGTGAGAGGGCAAGAGGGCAAGGGGGCAAGAGAAATCTTCTGTCCACTGGCTCATTCCCCAAATGACAACATTGGGGACTGGGTGAGGCCAAAGCCAGGATCCCTGAACTCCATCAGAGTCTCCCATGTGGGAGGCAGGGGCCCAAGCACTTGGGCCATCTTCCAGTGCTTTCCCAGGTGCATTAGCAGTGAGATGGGTGGGTAGTGGAGCAGCCAGGACTCAAACCAGCACTTATATGGGATTGCCAGCATTGCAGATAGTGGCTTAACCTGCTGTGCCACAATGTCGGCCCTTCTGCACTTCTTATATAGATAGAATCACATCACTTAGATGTGGAAGACTGCCTGTTGTAGTCTCCAGATCTGATTCTTTTGCCCTGCACAACTGAACAGTCAACTAGAGACTAATTTCTCAGCCTTTCTCACAGGTCAATGTGGACAAAGGACCAAATTGTTATCAATAGCACATGAGCACAAGTGGTATGTTCAGTCCTTGTTTAAATAAAGGCAAATTACTTGACTTAAACTTCTTATCCTCCCACCCCCTTCTCCAAGCTGGAACATGGACCTCCAAGTGATTCAACTTCAACCACAGTGATACTAGGTCTCATGCAGTAGAAATGCTCTACAGACTTGACCTACTTACTTCAGGAGTTTGGCCTCAGTAGCAATAATTAGGGGTGCACATCTTTCCAGCTGCTGTGTTGCTGTGTTGTGTTGTGGAAGAACCACTTTAGCACCATTATCCTATAGCTTATGAACCTTCCCACCAGTACAGAAATTTGAATATAGGCTGTTTGTTCTGCTTTCAGAAAGCATTGCCAATGTCTTACATGATCTGTATCAGGCTGACTAAGCAAAGCCACGGAAAGCTAAGCACCAAGACAGAACTTCAGTGATAGTAGTCTATTCTCAGGCTGTTTTGCCAAAAATCAGATGTGTTCTTACAAATGACAGTGCCAACAGTTCAGAGAGAGAGGCAAACATCTCATCACAACTAATCATGGTGCAAGAAAAGTACAACAATATTCAAGGAAACTTGAATCTCTGGAGTATTGAAGAGAAATACAGGAAACTATCAATGTATAAAGCAGTAGGAGAAATTTTACATTAAAGGTTATCACATGGAAAAGCAGAAAACAGGATGATAAATTTTGTTTTTCAGAAATCTTAAAGCTTTTTTTTTTTTAACAGGCAGAGTAGACAGAGAGAGAGAGAGACAGAGAGAAAGGTCTTCCTTCCGTTGGTTCACCCTCCAATGGCCACCTTGGCCAGCACGCTGAGGCCAGCGCATCACGTTGGTCCGAAGCCAGGAGCCAGGTGCTTCCTCCTGGTCTCCCATACAGGTGCAGTGCCCAAGGACTTGGGCCATCCTCCACTGCACTCCCAGACCACAGCAGAGAGCTGACCTGGAAGAGGAGCAACCGAGACAGAATCCGGCGCCCCGACCAGGACTAGAACCCCGTGTGCTGGCGCCACAGGTGGAGGATTAGGCTATTGAGCTGCGGCGCTGGCCTTAAAGCTTTTTTAAAAGAAGTATTTATTTGAAAGGCAGAGGTACAGAGAAAGATGGAGAGACAGAGAGGAACGTCTTCCATCCACTGGTCACTCCCCAAATGACCATGAAGCCAGTAGCCTGGGTCTCCCACATGGGAGACCATCTTTCACTGTTTCCCCAGGCCATTAGCAGGGAGCTGGATTGGAAGTGGAACATCTGGGACTCAACCAGTGCCCATACGGGATGCTGGTATTGCAGGCAGCAGCTTACCACACTTTGGCAGAGTGCCAGCCCCATAAGGTTTTATACTAAAAAGAAAACCTACCATTGATAATATTAACAGTAGGGCCAACAATGTGGTGCAGCACATAAAGCTGCCATCTACAAAGCTGGCATCCCATAAGAGTGCCAGTTTCACAGACTTTTTAAAATCCTCTCATATGACTAAGAGAAAACATGTTTACTATATAAAAAATCATTACAAATTGGTAAAGGGGTAAGTGTGCTGATGTGAAATGAACAAAGAAATGAAAATGTAGCAATGAGAAAAACATAAAATGTCCTAGTGATCAGCCATGATTATCAACGAACTAATACCCTCTCTTTTCAAATTAATTTAATTTGTTTAATTGATTTAACAGCAAACTTGTTTTTATATTTTTGAAAGGCAGGGGAGACACACACACACACACACACACAGGGGAAGAGAGAAAGAGAAAGGGAAAGAGAGAGATTATCCACAAAAAACAAGGCTGGGGGCCGGTGCCACTAATCCTCCACCTGTGGCACCAGCACCCTGGGTTCTAGTCCCAGTTGGGGCGCCAGATTCTGTCCCAGTTGCTCAGTGACAGATTAGCCCAGCTAAGTTGCTGTAACACAGATTCAAAGAAATCTAATTGAAGATAAAAAATAAATTTTTTCAGCAACATGTAGTTTCTGTAATTTTCCTCTTTGTTTTGTTTTCATAATGACTAAAATTTTAAAAATTTATTTGAGAACTACCAAGGAAGACACTGAATGAAAATTGCAACCACCTGTGTACCTACTAAAACGATGAGAACCAAACATGTTCATCCCCAGATCCTAATATCATGTCAAGTGTAGCAAAATAAAGGGGAGGGAAGGCATTTAGCCTGGTAGTATGAGACACCAGGTAAAACTCGTTCATCTCTGAGTGCCTGGTGTCCATACCCAGCTCCTGCTCTTGACTCCAGCTTCCTGCCCTGAGAGTCTGCAGTGAAGGAGCACGTCATTGGGTCCCTGTCCCAACACGGGAGACCTGGATTGAGTTCCAGACTTCTGGCCTCAGCCCCAAAGCAGCCCCAGCTATAGCAGACATTTGGGGAGTGAACTAACATATGGTGGGTCTGTCTACCTCTCAAATACATAATTTTAAAAAGGAAAAGAGAAATATGCTGTATGTATCACATTAGTTGTTTGCAAAACTAAAATAGGGATTTATTTATATTTTACTTTGAAAATAATTACTTTGAAATAATTTTGGGCTTAATGTTTATATAAGTGTTATTGGGTTACCCAAAAGAAATTATTTTGTGTGCATGCAAAACTTTTAATTAAGTGCTTATTAAATTATTTTGTTTATGAAGTAGCATTTAGATATGCCCTATCAATTTTTCATCTAATCACAACAAAAATAAAACTTTATCACAGCAAACTATTGCTTATTTGGGTTCATTCAACTTCAAAGTTTCGTCTAAGAATTTAATGAAAGAAACAACAACAAAGAATAATTTCCAAAGTGTCTTCGGGGACTTGTGGTTAAGTCTCAAACTGGCAAGGACATTAATGCTGTGGTCATCAGTTGTCATAAAAGTCACATGACAAAAAAATTTTATTAAATAGTAGCTTATTTATTTTAGAGTGACAATAAAATTTTCAGAACGGAGGCAGTAAAACCACTCATCCTGAAATTTGGAACATGTACAAGAGTTTGGAAATATTTGGATACAGTTGGATCATTTCTGTTTAATTTGTCTTCTCCAGTTTTCACGAGGAAATTCTATTTATTCAAACCAACATAACTAATATTTGGGTTTTTGTGTTATACATGCGGTTATTATATAATTTTACATTTGGGGACATTTGAATTAATAACATGAAAATTAGATCATTAGACAATGGATAAATACTAAATGCCCTTGGCAAAAATTTTCAAACTAGTTCTGGAAATAGTTTATCAATTTATTTTTATTTAAAAATTCAGTTTATTAAGTCTAATACCTTTATTTTAAGGCTAGATGTTTCTGAACTTTATAACAAAGGAAAACCTATTTTTTTCTACTTAATTTCTTAGCATAATAATAAACACATTTTAAAAAATGAGAAATGCATTATTTGTATAAATTACTTCAGAACTGCTCAAATAGGCCTAATGAATACTTTACTTAATAGATAATGAATGAATGGCCATTTTGTTGTGCAATATAGAACACTATTACTTATCTTTGCAAAATAATTTAAAAATAAGCATTGTGTTTCATCCACATAGGTTTCATGTAGCATATAACATCTGCCCCCTAAAAAGATTTGTGTTCTTTTTGATTAAAACAAAACACACAGTACATGTCATCAATCATACATTTTCAACATGCTTACAGGCAGATTTATTCATTCTAAACCCATTTATAAACAGCTGACCAATTCTCACACACACACTCACATGCATGCACACCAGTCATGGGTGAACAGTAGATATAAGAATAGAAAAAGAAAAAAAATATCACAAATAGACAAAAGCAATGTAGAAAATTTTGTTTGAGAGTTAGCGATGTAATCTGGATCACAAAAGGAAAAGAAATACATACAGACACAGTGATGCTCTTGTGAATTGTAGGGTAGAAAAGAAAACAAATAGAAAAGCTGGCACTTCTTGTAAGGCAGCCATAAACGATCAGGCAGTGCCGCTAGGCTGACAGGAGACATGGACAGGAGGCACCAGAGGTGACATCAGGACATGGAATTACCGACGGGAACAATCTTCTCGTCAATGTTTATATTTGTTTATTCTATATTCTACTTTATACTGTGTTAAGGATATGCTTTTTTAATGGAAATTGAACACCAAATTTAAAGGACCAGAACCAAGAACAGTAGTAGTTCTTCTGAAGAAATCAGAAGTTTGGGAAAGTATCTCTTTCATTGACTTTGCTCATCTCCTGTCTTTACTATTTACCATTTTAAAACTGCTGTTGTTCGGAAAATACAGTTCCTTTTTACAGACTACTGGAAATTCTTGAAGATTAATTATCAGGGCAAGGGAGATAAAAGTTATCACTCACTTAAGTTCAGTAAGATATAGAGCTCTAATTTGATCTCGGACCCAGGAATTCTCACTTTGTTTTCACCAGACACTAATTGAGAACTGAATATGTGCCTAGAGTTATGCATGGCACCAGCACTACAGGCAGAGTTAGATGAACTTGTTTTAACCAAACTATAGTAATGTAATTTGATCGTTTATCAAAACCTCAGAGTCCTATAGAATAGTTGGAAACAATAATTTCCAGAAAAGGGATTGTGCTTAAAATTAACTAATGCCTTTCATCCCTGGAGGGAAAATATTGTGATCCTTTACCTCTAATAATATGCCATCTCAGATATCGTATGGATATCAGAGGAAGTGTGCCAAAGAGATAAGGAAGGAACTTGCAAATGGTACCAAAGACAAGGAATCATTATCTCATCATCCCACCTGTTAACCAGATATTCCCAGTTGAGTTGTATCCAGTTCCAGGCCATGCTCTTCCCATAGTTATTATAGGAGATATATCGGATGACTGTAAACACATCCTGAGATTTAATAAAGTTTGAGTCCTTGAGCAAATCCAAATACCTAAGAGAAACCAAACAGAAAAACAACTCAAAATGAACTTTTAATGTATACCATTACCTAAATTCCAGTACCACATGGCTTTCATTCCAGCAACTCAATTCTTAAGTGTCAATTGCTGAAGTTAATTAAATTGGCAAGCAATGGCAAACAACTTAAAATTTTCTAATATACTTAACCATTTTGAAAGAATAACATGTGATTTTGAGGACTGGTGAAATGTAAGTTATAGGGACATTTAAAATTCAATTTTTTTGAAAGAATTTTAGCCATTAATTTTTAATGTAATGGCTTTTATTGACTACAAGCCCTTTATCCACTTACCTATTATCTCACTGAATTTCTTTTTCTAAATGAAGTTTTTTTTAAGATTTACTTATTTATTTGAAAGGCAGAGCTAGATACAGAGAAAGAGAGAGAAGACAGGGAGAGAGAGAGAGAGAGAGAGATTTTCTTCTGCTCGTTCACTCCCCAGATGGCCACTATGGCACCGTGGCCAGGGCTGGGCCAGACTGAAGCTAGCGGCCAGGAACTTCTTCCAGGTCTCCCATGTGGGTAGTGGGGGCCCAAACACTGGGAACCATCTTCTGCTGCTTTTGCAGGCACATTAGCAGGGGGCTGAATGGGAAGAGGAGCAGCTGGGACTTGAACTGGCACCCATATGGGATGCTGGCACTGCAGGTGAAGGCTTAACCTTCACCAGCCCCAATCTCACTGAATTTTGAAAAGGAGCCAATAAATTAAAATATAGCATTTATTTTCTATAAGACAGCAATAAAAACTTGCTTGCTTCTCCCTAGATTGAAAGAAACAGCTTTCTAATGTAATCTATCTAGTTAGATTAAGTAGCTTCAATTTTAACATAATGCAAATAAGCCCAAGATAAATTGAATGACCTAATGGATGGATTTTATTAAATTTTATTTGCTATACCTACAGTTGCATTTCTAGCCTAAGGCCTTTAAATTGTATATTATATAAAAATATTTTTAAATATAAACAACACAGGGTACTTAAAATTTTTATGGAAAAGTGGAATAAACACCAATTATTTTGTACAAACTTGAAAAATGTGTATTATGAAAAACTATGCATTGATTTCAAAATTGTTCTTGTGTCAAAGTAAACTCAATTTTAACTACATGAATGTTTTGAAATACCCTTGTATTTTATTCATTGTGAGAAAAGTACCTCAAATATAAATTTCTACTGCAGATAGAGCAGATATATTTTCATATTACCTAAATCTTATTGCTCTGTGGCTTCCTACCCATTGTTTCTATTTATTAGTATCTTTCATGGGAAACTACAACAAAAAAAATTACCATTATATTTAAGTTGGGCGATAGTTTTTTTTATTTTTATTTTTTAAAATTTTTTGACAGGCAGAGTTAGACAGTGAGAGAGAGAGACTGAGAGAGAGTTATAGACAGTGAGAGAGAGACAGAGAGAAAGGTCATCCTTCCGTTGGTTCACTCCCATAATGGCCACCACGGCCAGTGCTGCACTGATCCGAAGCCAGGAGCCAGGTGCTTCCTCCTGATCTCCCATGTGGGTGCAGGGACCCAAGCACTTGGGCCATCCTCCACTGCCTTCCAGGCCACAGCAGAGAGCTGACTGGAAGAGGAGCCACCGGGTTTAGTACCCGGTGCCCCAACCGGGACTAGAACCAGGGGTGCTGGTGCCACAGGTGGAGGATTAGCCTAGTGAGCCATGGCGCCGGCCAAGTTGGGCGACAGTTTTGAGAGTCATCCTTTGTCAAGGAAAAACAGTATTTCTATATTTCTCACATTTTCATTAATATATCAAGAGCCAAGATAACAAACTAGGGTGCTTGATCATAAAAATGTATCCTATGTGAGACTGCAGAAAATGCAAATTTCAAGGGAAACTCATTCCACAAGGGAAATTGGAAAACATCACTCTCTCCAGTCCCTAAATAAAGACCTAGAGTTCAGTATCTACTTCTGTGCTATGTCCAACGTGGCATGGAGAGTGACTGTACATCCTCAGCAAAATGAAGTGAACATATTGTCAGGTTTAGGGTAATGCCCTTTGTTCCTTTGACTTGTGAGTACTGCATGGGGGTGGGGGTACTAATAGTTTGTATAGCTTAGCAATAAGATGCAAGGATGTTGGAAGAGCTGCTCAAACACAAAAATGCCACACAGCACAGATATTTTATGAACAGAAGCAAATGATGGGAACCACAGCTTGCACCTCTGCATGACAGACAGTGCTCCAGTAGGTAAAATGGGATAAAGAAAAACTCAATGCACTCTGGTCCAGGACCAAGATAGGTAAAGACCACAAGGCAAACCATCAAAGCAATGGATCGTTGAAATTTTTTTTGTGGATGTCAAGATGACCAAGTTCTTGATGGACTATCTTAACAGCAGAGAACAGGAGAGTTGACACACAGTACTCAGGTAAGATGGTGAAGGTATACTGTTGGGGCCAGCACTTTGGCACAGTGGGTTAAAGCCCTGGCCTGAAGCACCAGCATCCCATATGGGCGCCAGTTCTAGTCCCAGCTGCTCCTATTCTGATCCAGCTCTCTGCTATGGCCTGGAAAAGCAGTAGAAGATGCTCCAAGTCCTTGGGCCCCTGTACCCACATGGGAGATCTGCAGGATCTCCTGACTCCTGGCTTGGATCGGTACAGCTCTGGCCGTTGCAGCCAATTGAGGAGTCAACCAATGGATGGAAGACCTCTCTCTCTCTGCCTCTCCTTCTCTCACTGTGTAACTCTGTCTCTCAAATAAATAAATAAATCTTTAAAAATATATACTTATACATACAAAAGACACCATACCTGTTAATTGAGTGATGTTAAGTAATTCAGATTCCATAAGTAAACAAAGCATGAATTAAGGCAGAAGCTAGTTAATTGGGGACACAGCTGTAGAATGGGCAATGATTCATTTTTTGGGCCTTACTTAAGCAGCCTTTGTACCTTTTGAGCAGAATATAAACCTGTGTGTGTGTGCACTGTGGTGGATACTCATCTGTTGTTTTGTCCTGGTATCACTAGATATCCTTGGCCTTAGAGAAGGACTTGGAGAACCATCACTGGCCTAAATCATTTGGAGGAATTGAAATTCATCCCAGTTAGCAGATGATCAAGCAGTAGGTCTAGGGTGTGACCCAGAATGATCAAGTCTGACTCGGTTCTGGATTATGAAGCAAAGTGGAAATAATTGTGTCTTTGAATAAAGCAGCCCCTTGAGGAGAAACATTTAGGGGCTCCTGTCTTTCCTCCATTGAACATATTTGTGTGAAGACAAAATTTGTGGGACTTTAGAAGTCATGAGAGAGCCAACACTCAGGACAGGAACAGAGGACCCCGGTCCTGCGTGAAAATGTTGAAGCACAGCACACAACTGGAAACTACCTCCAGAATATTTTTTCAGATGAAATTAAATTTATTTATTGTTTAAACCAGTCTTCCATGGATGTTTTGTTTCTTACAGGAAAAATAATTTTAATGGATTTTTTTTTTCTTTTTGGAAAAGAGATCACACTTAATCAGAGTTTTAAAGAGACAGTGGGACATAAACAAATGCCATTTACAAAAGTGAAATAAAAGCCCACCTTACCTTGACAAAAGAGTAACATTCCTTACTGATGCTAATCCATAGAGCAGTTTTTCTTTTTCTTGCGCTAAGGAGGTTTTCAGGTATTGATCAAGAGTATAGTTCCAGGAAGTCTCATTGCCGGAGCTGTACATCCCATAGCGATACACCAGGAGTCTGAGGTTGACAGGAAGACTGGAAGAAGAAACAGTGTTGCAGAGGTTTCTGTTACTCATTTCTCAGATCAAAGTCTTCTAGAAATGAAAACAGAGTGAAAAGTCATTCACCTCTGTCTCCCATTTATCCACTCCTGAAATAACTGGGAGGCGTTGTTCAAGGCTTCCGTATCGCCCATCCTGCACGCGAGCCCTAACACGGAGGCACGCAGTAACCTTAGGAAGGAAAGAAAGCACAGAGCCAGGGCCTTAGCATTTTCCACATGCCTTAAAACACACAAGCAAATGTCAAATGAATATTATATTTAAAAAGGTGAGAAATCACTTTGTGAGGTGGTCTCCAGTATCATCCCATCCCAGAGAGTCTGCAGCAGGCTTCACTTGATCTTTGAAGTAATCCTAAAATAAAAACACATGCACAATGAGTAATACTATTCATTAACCATCTCCCATGTATTATAGTTTGAAATCCTCTATTGCAATCTTTTCCTACTACTTAGAAGAATTTTGGGAAGAATGTATTCAGTCTTCACCACATTGTAATTCTGCTTCAATCCTGAAGATACAGAACCATTCTGAATCTGGATCTAATGTCTTGTAAGACTTTGGGTAAGCTCTTGTTGACCTCACTTTCTTAGTTAACATGTAATAAATAGAAAAACATGTGACACAATTCCTGCACCAAGATCGTTCACATATTAAGGAAATAATAAAAATAACTGATAATTCAGACTTACAGCGGACTTTTGTATTATTTTACACTCACTATCTCATTACCACAGCAGATAAGTGTTCATGTTCTACTATACAAAGAAGGTTAACAAAAAAAAACCCACAAATATTAAATTACTTGTCTAAGATCTTTCATTCAGTAAGTGAAAGAGCTAGAGATCTGAATCTGGAATTTTTAATAATTGTAAATGTCCTGCCAATGTGTTACAGAAATCATAAAGCAAAGAAAAAATATTTAGAATGACAGTATTATAAAATCCCAATGTGTAACTCTCAGCACAAAAACTAAGAAAATATAATGTTATATGTTATTAAAAAATAGATTCATTTCAACATTGAAAATAAAATAAAATCTAGTTAAAATCTGTAGTTTAAAATATTATAAATTTTAAGTAAAATTTTGTTGTTTTCCTTTTAACACTAAAATATACCTTCAAGTGTTAATACAGAACCATAAAAAATATGCCTCAAATTGAAAAAAAAAAAACAGCTAGCATCTCTTCACTTTGATTACTCAGCTTGTTGCATTCTTTTTTTTTTTAATTAATTAATTTATTTTAAAGACAGAGTTACAGAGAGGCAGAGGCAGAGAGAGAGAGAAAGAAGTCTTCCATCCACTGGTTCACTACCCAGATGGCCTCAACTGCAGGAGCTGGGCTGATCCAAAGCCAGGAGCTTCTTCCTGGTCTCCCACATGGGTGCAGAGCCCAAGAGACTTGGGCCATTTTCTACTGCTTTCCCAGGCCATAGCAGGGAGCTAGATGGAAGTGGAGCAGCCAGGACTAAAACCGGCACCCATATGGGGCGCTGGCACTGCAGGTGGCAGCTTTACCCACTAAACCACAGCAACACCCCTGCACTTTCTTTTGATTTCACTTGGCAGTAGATAGACTTTGTGTTCCCCAGGTGCTCCTTCTCTCAGAAACCATCCCGGCCCACTAATGACTAAACATTTACTTGATAATATAATCATAGCAATCACATCACCTGCATCAGTGGGTATATGTCGTTATCATCTTCAAACATGCTAATGATGTAGGTTATAGCCGAAATGACTCTTTGCCATGGCAAATAATCCATTTCCATTTTGAGATACTTGGTCAGGTTCAGAGCCACTTTATAATTTAGGAGTTGAGCTCTGAGAAAGGAAAAAAAAAAACACAGTTAATCAAAAATCATAGACTTTAGCTTTCATTCAGCTGGAAGAACTAATATGGGGATTAGCATTCCATGTTAATGAGAATTCTTTTACTAACAATTAATAAATAGCATTTTGGTGTTGAGGTCCAATCATAAAGTTTCATTTAAATTGATTAGTGCCCCCATATATTCACTAGTAATGAGAAAGACAGAAATGTAAGACACACATTTGGAAATCATTATAGCCAAATTTCAGATAAAACAAAAGCCATTTGACATACAGGTAACATTGATGAATAGTAACTTTAAAATTTTAGGTTCATAAATGGATTATAATATGCAAATGAACTAGTATCAATTTATTTTATTGAAATTATTTACATTTGTTTATGAAGGAACATGAATAAAAGTACTCATGAGTCACAAATACCAAAAACATTAAAATTAAACCTACATTTTCTTTTAAAATATCTCCTTTTCATGCATTCCCCACTAACTTTTATAAATAAAATGGATTTTTTCTTCCGGAAAATTTGAAGATACTGTTGCCATTTCAAAGTTTAAATAGTCCTATTTCTTCCCTCTTCAAAAGAATTGTAGAACTTTTTGAAATTATGCTTTCGAGATCCTGTTCTACTTCAAATTTTAGCATAGCTTTTGAAAAAAATCTTAGAAGGGAATCTTTTTTTTCCAAACTACATTTTGAAAGCTTAAAGACTAATGTTAAAATGATTCAATTTAGCAAGATGGATGTGTCAGGAGCTCTTATATTTGAAGTCATTTAAAAAATCTTTTCTTTAAAATTTTATTTTTTTATTTTTTATTCAAAACTCAGGGAGACACACATAGAGAAAGACACACAGACAGAAATCTTCCATCCACTGGTTCACTTTTCAGTTGCCCAAAACAGCTAGGGCTGGGCCAGGCCAAAGCCAAAAGCCCAGAAGTCATATCTGAGTCTCCCACATGGATAGCAGGAATCTAAGTACTTGAGCTATTGTCTGCTATTTTCCAATGTGCTCATTAACAAGAAGTTAGATCTGAGGAGGAGTAGCTGGGACTCAAAGCAGACACTCCTATCTGGGATGTAGATTTCCTGATAAGAATTTGCAGGTACTGGGGCCAGCGCTGTGGCATAGTAGGCTAAGCCTCCACCTGCAGCATCAGCATCCCATTTGGGTGCTGGTTCGAGTCCTGCTACTCCACTTCCGATCAAGCTCTCTGCTGTGGCCTGGGAAAGCAGTAGAAGATGGCCCAAGTGCTTGGGCCCCTGCACCTGCTTGGGAAACCTGGAAGAAGCTCGGGACTCCTGCCTTCAGATCAGACATTCATTTGGGGTGTGAACCAGCAGATGGAGGTCCTTTCTCCCTGCCTCTCCCTCTCTCTGTTACTCTATCAAGTAAATAAATAGAATGTTAGTAAAAAATTTTTAAAGAATTTAGATTGCTTCCCCCAATCTATTTTATCTTTTTCTAAGTGTAAGTCACCTTCATTTTATAGGGAAAAAAAGTCAAATTCCCTGAAAAGCCCCTTAGCTCTGATCAGCCCTGGAGCACCATGGCTTCTTTCTCTTACCCTTGTGACCTGAAAAGGATTTCAGAGTTCTAGTCATGGAATCCTACAGTAAGCTTGGACTCACCTAATTCAATTAATTAAATCTACTGATGTCTTTTTATTAAATCAAATTATGAAGGTGCGCTTCTAGGCATTTGTAAATGCCACTCTTAATAACCTCAAGGACTCGCAGTCAGTAGAGCGGGTGAGTGTTTACACGTATGTTAACAGTTAATATCCATATTTTGGCTAAGAGGTGCATACAAACTTTTAAAAAGAAGGCTAAGGAAAACAATAATGCTTTAAATAATGGCTTCAGATATTTTAAACTAAAATTCACCAATACTTAAATGTTATTCTAATTTATCACTTAAAGAAAGGTTTATGACAAAACCTATGGTGCTTAACGTGATCCAACATCTTTCCAAAACGCACCTTGCCAAGGCAAAAGCATCATCAATAAAACTCGCACGGTCAGCAGAAGAAAAGTCCTTGGAAAAGGAAGAAAAAGAGGTAAGAAACATAATTCTTCAAGCAAAGCATATTGAAAAAATAATGTCATTAGGATGTTGTTCTTAGAACACAAATAAAGCAATTCACAACCATTGCTATTTCTTACCACGTGGTTTGAGGAAAGATTTTCAGCTATCGTGTTCCAAGTTTCTTCTTCATAATTTACACGATAAAACCCAATATGATCTGGGTTTATTTTGGCAAAAGAACTTCCACCAGAATTAGAAGGGTTCAAAATAATTCCTGTAGTAGTGAATAAACACTAATGAGAAACACAAGTACAGATACTGTAAACCCAGAGAAATGAGACCCAGAGGGCAAAAAGACAAGAAACATTAGCTCAAGGAGTCAAGTGTGATGTGGCCCCAAAGTCTAATTCTGATTTTGTTGCCTAACACTGGTATGTCACTGAAGTGGATGAGCTGAAAAATAAACAAGTAATGAAAATAGATGTCCTGTCGTCTGTTACTTCCACTTCTTACTGGCAGAAGCTTGCCAAATGGGTGAAATGATTCTGTGCCGGTCATCCTTCAATAAAAGGAAATGGTACCTAAAGAAAGAGAAGTCTGTGTCTTCTAGGATAGTCCCTATATTCTTGATCATAATGAATTGACTACACAAAGAATGTTCACTGGGGAAGCCTGGGGAGGAGGTAAAATGTAAACATTTTAAAGAATACTTTGTTTGTTAGAATCAACATTGAAGTTAATGGAAGTGGCTACTGTTAAGCAAAATAAGATTTGGAAATCAGTAATGCTTTTAAAATGTCAAAAAGACCTGCTACAGAACTGAAATGCAAATGTGACACTCCCAATTTTGTAATTCGTTTCATACTTGCTTTTCCAATTGTATTTACCTTTTTACGCTCTTCTACTTCGTTTTTCAATCAATTACATCAACTCTTTTTTTTTTTTTTCAGCAATGGATTTGTAGCATTAACTTTCTTTCTAAGGTAGAATCCAATATTTACATAGTGTTTTAGTACATAGATTCTAGAAACCCAAGACTGAAGGAACTGTGGCTTATGTTTTAGGTAAAAGATACACACTTACAATAATAGCTGTGCTCTGACATGACCAGTGTTTGCTAGCAATCCTCCTACACTTTCCAATTCATGGGCTCTTCTGTTTGCTTGGATACATACAATTTAAATATTGGTGTGGGAACAGTACAGATACTTGAGGAATTTCAAATAGTTTAATGTTGTGTCCGCGTAACGTGTGATTTTGGAAAACAGGAGCTGAGCTGGAAATAAAGCACTGAACATCAATAGAGCTTCAGTGTGAAGAACCTCATGCCGTGCTAAAGAACCCATCTTCAGAAAGTGGGACCCAGGGACAGTTTGAAGCAGAGAAACAATGTGATCAATTCTGTCTTCTAGAAGAACTAATTTTGATAGTGAGATGGGAGACATTTTGGAGAAGATTCTGGAGACAAGAAGGCTAATTCAGAGTGTGCTATAATCATCTATCTGGGGAAAGAGATGATGAAATCAGAAGGCAGGTGATGTGTCTGGGAGACTATCACACATAAAATTACAAGAAGCCCTCTACAGACTCGATGGGCACAGAGACGGGGAAACTGGCTTGCGTGGTTGGAGGTGGGGTTGCCGTTGCAGGACAGAGGAAGGGAAGTCAGTTCAAGAGGAAAGATGATTTAAATTTTGGAAGTGTTTGCAAGGCCTGGAAGATATCCAGGACACAGTAGTTTTTCATAATATATGAGTAAGCTCTTCAACAAGACAATAAGTTTCTTTAGGAACTTTCCGAGTAGGTACTTGACAAATTATAAACCCTTACCTCACTCTTGTAGTATTTATCTTTCTTTGTCATTCTCCCATGGACAGGTTGTTGAAAGGAAGCTAATCTTTTGGCAACCTTACACTTGGAATGTTTGTATCAGGAGGAGAGTCTCCTGCTAAGTATAGAGCTATATGTTATAGGAGAAAGAGCATGAACTTTTGCATCTGACAGACCCAGGATAAAATCCTTGCTCTGTGACTTACTTGCTGTGGAACTTTGGCCAAATCACTTGACCCTTCAGTGTCCCAGTTTGCCACGAGAGAAACAGGGATAAAAATCCCTCACAGGGCTGTTGTGAAGATTAAACAAGATAACACAGGTAAAGTGTTGGTTGGATTAGTTATGTGTTACGTATCCAACAGATGGTGGCTGTCCCCATTACTATGAAAGGGGATACGTTGCCAGATCTATAAATAGCGAAGCAAATATAAATAACATTGAGAAGTTCCTGGCAATCCATCTAAATACTGCAGTATTTTAGTGTGCTTTATATGTACCTAGTTAAGCCTGTCTAGAGTTACTGTGATTTTTCTCACTTTATAGATGAGGAAGCTGAGATCCAGGAAGTCAGTAGTTAAGGACTTTCCAGAACAGTTGTCAACAGCAAAGTACTGTTGGGTTGTTTAGTTACATAATGAAGTAAGTAGGACTAAAATACCAATGCCTGTTCCTGGTGGCTCGGAGAAGCAAAGGTGTATGGTTCCTTTTGTTTCTTCATTTGCCACCATTTTTTTTTTCTGACTGTAACAATTGTATGTGATCCTTATGGAGCGCTTAGAAAACGCAAAGCAAGATAAAGAACAATATCAAAATCACTCATCAAATTAATCTGTTTTTATTATCCCTCTGTGTTTCATCTTCCACATACCACACACATAATGAGAACCTACTCTTCGTGATTAATAATCCTTTTTCACTTGTAATTATATTGTGAACATCTTGCAATTTCATTTTATCTATTTAAAAATAAAAATTTGATGCCCAGGGAAGCGAGTGCCCAGCTGAGTTTGCACGTGTGTTCCAGGCCTTTGACAGGTCATCTGGGCATAGAAAGAGCAGTGCGTGTGGGAGAGCGCTGTTAGTTGTTTACCACAACGTTCTCTTCTCCTCCTGGTTCAGAGCTAGATCTTCTGTATTAGCGCCCCTTGTGGTGTGGTAGTAGCGTATGATTGAGCCTTGCCCATAAAACAAGGGCAGAAGTAATGTCTGCACTTCCTGATTCTGCCCAGATGCAAAAGTTCAAGCAAGGGATTCCAGTATCTCCAAGAGGTGTTGAGACCCCAAGAGGGAAGAAGACAGGGTTTCTAAGTCACTACTTGATGGAGAACTATTATAGGATGGATGGCAGGTCAAGAATACCTCCTTTGGACTATTCCATGAACAAGAAACATTTATGGCATCAAGCTACTGTTGACAGTTTCTAACTGCAACAATTAGACTCACTTACCTAACACAATATATCACATTATCACAGATTGATGACATCTGTAAAATAATTGATCCACCTGAACTCTCCTCTAATCCTTACTAGGTAAACTTTCTTTCTGGGAAGAGATACCTTATTGGCTGACATGAGTATTCTGGTTCACAAGGCCAGTATGTTTTATCTGTGTAAATTAACAAATTAGCATTCTTGGTTAATCTCTTGCATGTTTGGTTTAGGTGAATAAATCTTCCAAGACTTCACTGACCAGGGATGAACTCATGAATCAGCACAACTGAAGCCACCATCATCGAATCAAAGTTTGCACATTCCATGAGGCTTAGCTTGAAAAAAATAAAGTTCTCCCCTTGTTGTTTTCATATGCAAAAATCTATGTTCATCATTGTTTCTGTATTAAATATTTAAGTATGAAAGCCCTAATTGTTTAGTAGGTCTTATTTTTATGATAGTCAGAATTCGGGTGTTATCTAAACCATCCAGAATGCAGCCTCAAGTTTGGAAATTAAAATCGCCTTCACAAAGTTGGTACCATGCTGTAGGCCTTAGACCCTCTCCAGACCTTATCCTTCAGAGTCTACTTGAAAACACAATATTTTAATAAGATTGGTTATCTGATATTGTGTGACAACCTTTGATCTATCTAAATATTAGAAAGCAGAAAATCAAAGCCAAAGAAGGGGCATGATTTTGGCTTAGCAGTTAAGGTGCTGTTTGGGATGCCCACATACCATATCAGAGTGCTGGGTCATAGTCCCAGCTCTGCTCTCAATTCCAGCTTCCTGCTAATGCATACTGCTGGAAAGTAGCAAGAGTTGGCTCAAGTAGTTGGATCCTTGCCACCAACATAGGAGACCCAGATTGAGATCCCAGTCCTGGCTGTTGCAGGTATTTGGGGAAGCAAACCGAAGAATGGAAAAATATCTGTCTAAATCTGTTTCTGTATATTTCAAATAAATGTCTTTTTTTAAGTGCAAAAAGACGGTATGCTACTAAAGGTAGACTCATTGATAATAGCTAAAAATAGTAGGCAATACTAAACAGAGGCAGAGTAAAACACACAGAGGCAACTTCTGAAAGTATAGCAGTCTGGGGCAAACAAGCCTTCATTAAGCAAAGAATTAGTAAGATCTTAAGATGCACATAGCATCTTATTGGTAATAGGGCAGACAGGGGTAAGAAATATCCTTGTCTTCAAGATGCTCCCAATTTACTTGAAATGAGAGTGAAAGTGAGAGAGAGAGAAAGAGAGAAAATATGAAGTTTAAATAATGATTTTTGTTTAGAATATAAAGGTTAATACTTGGAATAAGGTTGATGAAACTGGCAGTATAAAATATATCATAAAAATGGGAAGAGAGATCCTTCAGGTCAAGTTGAAATAACCAGGACAGGGTTTGCGATAAAGATATTTTTTCTTCCTCTTAGGAAATTACATGCTGTTGTTTTTTTAATGCTTAAAATATCATGTACAATACAAATTCAAATAAAAGACCTGGGAGGAATCACACTGTTGCTTGGGGGATTTCTAGCTGATGAATCATCATCAAAGAAACCAAGAGGAGGAGGCAGGACTGGTAACACGAGCCGGTTGCCCATTCAGTACACTCAGGACACATTAGTCATCTGCACTCTGGGCTGAGAGCTGGAGATGCCGTCAAACAGGAAACAGGAACCTACTGCATGGTCTAAAAATGGAGCAGGCACTTTGAAGTAGGAAGAGCTGTCTAGTTTGCTTCTGGCTAAGTGACCAGTCATGATTCTGAAGTTTCAGATAGAGGTAGATTTGTTACCCTATCATGCATTCATTCAATAGACAATTATGAGGTGCCTGCTGGGGATGTGGAACAACAATAAGCCCCACTTCCTCAAGTGGTAAGTATTCTGTGGGGAGAGGAGACGCAGCTAAGTCAACAGTTTCAGAGGGATAGAGAGCTGAGAGCTCGCTGCTCTGTCACGTTCACACTCGCACTCTGTCCAGAGCACGCATCCCTCTGCACTTGCTCAGTCTCATCACCCATTTACACTCTACCTTTAGCTCCTGAATTCTTGGCCCAGATTTTTGGTTTTCTTTAGTAACTTTCCTTGGGCCTTCACATCTGGGCTAGTGCTCCTGGGAGTGCCCTTGGCCATCTGTATTACTGTCCCAGGTACTTATGACGGTGTTATATCTGCCTACTGACCCATCCCTAGATAATAATCTACAGGAGGGTGAGGATTGTGCTTTGTGTTTTATTTTTCTTCAGTACTATCTTCAGGCCCACTTCCTGTGTCTGACATGTGAGTTAGTTTAAAAAAAATTATTTAAAATAATTAACTCATTAAGGATCAAATTAATTATCCAAAATGCTCCACCTAACAAGTCCATGATTAGAACAATACTTATTGTGAACTCTTGAAATTTATTTCACAAGGTATTTGACTAAATTCTAGCTATAAGAAAAATTGACTTGTACAGAAACTTCATTTCATGAAAATATTGGGTAAATTGTGTTAAGGTAGATGAATTATTCATGTTTTTAAATTTGTAAACAGAAAATCCAGCAGCTCCTGAGACATTCTTCGAACCCTCAGTTAACCACAGTGATCAGTGGGGAAAAACATGTTGCAATAGTTAAACTAAATGCACTGAAAACTCCCACTGGAATCCTGACCTGCTCATTATGCCTTTTTGTCAGTGTTGTTAGACATTTTTAAATGTCTTTTTTCTGTCTTCTCCAATTTCCTTTGGCAAATGTGTTTATGAGTAAGAAAATGATCAGCAGACAACCACAAAGGAAAAATCTTGGTACTCAAACACAGCATAAACACATTTAGAATCTGGGGATTTTGGAACAATTCAGGAGAATTGTTTGCTGTTTTGTTACAATAACTGTTGGCATAAGTGATCAACAGGAAGTTTTATTTTAATAGCAATCCTGTCAAGAAGAGCTCCAGACAGGAATCCCAACTCCATAATAGCAAAACTGGAAGAGTTTATAGTAAAATAAACTTCAAAAAAATCACAAAAGAAAATCCAAAGGTGAAAAAACCCTGTTGAATCCATAGAAAAATTTTCACACAAATGCTTATAGATACATAATGGAATAAAAGTGGAGATGATCCAAATGGATAAACAAAAGATGTTCTATACACATAATGGGGTATAATTTTGCAATAAAAGGGATTAAGTACTGATAATGCTCTAACATGGATGAAATTTGAAAACATGCTAATCAAAAAGGCAGTCATACAATACTATATATATATATCATTTCATTTATAATATAAATGTCCAGAATAGACAAACCTATAGAGGCATAGAGTAGACTGATTAGTGGTTGCTTAGGGCTGGGGTGTGGGAATGAGCTAAAGAGTATGAGATTTTTTTCCAGAGGTGGTGAAATGCTCTATTATTGTCTGTGGCGATGATTTGACATGTCGGTGAATTTACTAAGAATCATCAGATTGTATACTTTCTGGGTTAATTGCATGGCATGTGAATTAAATCTCAATAATGCAGTTTTGAAAAAGCAATCTACTGGAATCAGGATAAAAATTTACTTGCCAGGAGAAATCCTATCAAATTATTATTACAGAACATTTTGCAGGAGTAAATATAAGTAAAGGCCATGTGATCTGCTTTATCCTTAAGAAACCTTGGGTGAGATTCCCCACCAAGTAGTGCTCAGAAACCAAGTCATCATGGGATTTAGTGAAGAAGTCTAGGTTGTCTTAAATAATAAACAGCTTCAAAACAAACAAACAAGTATAACAGTAAAAGCATAAATAGCAAAATTCTTAATGGAATTGGTGTTAACATCTGTCTTGTTGATTATTTTTTCAATAACCTGGAGGTCCTTTTTATTTTTTACACAACTCCAAGATTTCTCAGGTAAGGAAAAGACAAACCAATGGAGATGAAATAAAGAAACTTATTTCAAGAAGATGATTGGTCTGATTTAATGAGAGCATTTTAAAAAAAAAATGAGGCCTGTCACATAGCAATTTAATAAATTCAGTGAATTACTTATCTGATAAAAAGTAAAAAAAAAAAAAAGGAAAGGAAAGAAAGGAAGGAGAGGAGGAAGGAGAGGGAAAGGAGCACTTTAATCTTCTGATGGCTGTGTGTCGATCCTTCTTGCCATATGGGCATTTATTATTGTGTGAGTCATAGTAAATCATTAGACAAAATATCTCAAGGTAGAAAAGTTCTCATTGTAGATGAAGATTTGGAATCATCAAGAAATTATTTAATAGATGCTTTTAGCTGAAATTTACATAAGTTCCAGCTTTATTATTGCTTCTTTAAACTTATATTAGTTTAGTGTAGATCAATTCAAAGAAGAAATAAATCAATTGATAATATTTACCTCCACTTTCTGATCTATTGTAGACTATAGTACTTGATTCATTGTTCTCAGTCCATTTTACAGGAATATTCCATGTGTAACTAAAATTTGTAAAAGAGCAGAGTTTAACTTACATTGCTAAAAGATGAAAAATCCAAAATATAAAAAACAATAGAAAAGCACATATTCCTTATAACTTATAATTCAGTGGATGGTATACAATTCATACAGTTAATACAACACTCTGTAGTGATGAAGACAGGTTGTGTAACTGCCCTCAATTTCTATAAATCTATGAAAAGTAACCACTTTTATCATAGCATTAGCTAAGGATGAAGAGGATTATTTCAATAAAATGCTTTGAGGCTTTGGAATAAAGATAGTGCATAAATTGCATAGACAAAACATTAAAATACAATAATGAACATTCACACACAGATGCACACATACTCTAATGCTGTTTCTCTCAAGGAATAGAAAAGATTTTAAGAATTCCAAAGACAACCTGGAAAACTGGGAAGAAAATGACCCTGTTACAAATTACATGGCAATTCTACCACCACCACCATCCCCCAGAGCATCTTGTGCTCTTCTCTAAATACCTCTTATTTGCCATCTTCTGAGAAGCAGGGTGCTACAAAGGAAAGACCATCAGATAAACGTGTTGGGGTTTACAGTTGTTCTGTTTGGCTGCTTAGAATTTCCCACAGAGCAGGGGTGGGGCAGTTAACTTGGCAATTTGATATAATATTTACTTAACATTTTAGTCTCAAAATCTCATAAAGGAGATCTTAAATGTCTTTTTGAAAGTTTGTTCTCCCATCATCTCATATATCAGAACATGCAGGTGTTATAGAGGGAAGATGAATTGTGTACTGGTGACTGGTTTGGTTTCAACACAAAGTGGTTTTATCTGTTGACATGCAATCCTCTAACAGAGAATTAGGGTTGACATTTTTCCTTTTCAAGATGTAATAAAATTTGTGTCATCGAGGAGAATATATTTTTGCTATCTACATGAAAGAAGTAATCCTTTGTTTTATAACTATTGAAGTACCTTACTGGATAGAGGTTTTTCTCATTCCTTTGGAGTATTTTATTGCAGTGGGATGTTTTTGGCTATAAGTTTCATAAAACCAAAATCGTTTCTTGGGCCCTGCAGCAGACATTGCTGGTGCTTCACCCTTATCTCTTGAATCCCTTTATCATCTGTGTACATCCACATCCTAGTGTGCTTTGCTCCCAATGACCAACACCCAGGTATCTCTGTCAAAGGCTGCTTTCAAGCTCCCCAGGCAAGTAAAGCTGGAAGATCTCAAGAATTTACATTCTCTGGAAGTGGCCATTAGCAAAGACTGATGGTGTGAGAATTGTTCTTGATCGGTCCCTCAAGATCACTCTGAAGCATGATCTGCACCAGCTCCAAGAGTTCCCTTCAGGACGGAGCCCAATTACCCCGCCACGTCTGCTTCACACAGCCCCTTCTCTGGGCTTTCTTCCTACCTGGTCCCACTCCCACTGCCCTGCCATTCTTCCTAGAACCACTTCCCTGGGAGCCACTTGCACTTGGTTGAATACCTTGGAGTCTGCTTTTAGGGAAGTGAACTTGAGAACTCTTACAACTTCTCAAATGATGGACAAAATAGGATTAAAAGAAGCCTCCACATTTTACCAATAGAGTTCATTTTTTCACTGTCCTGATGATTAAGGGCTTCCATGTAGAATAAGATTTCATTTTCCTGATCTTTCCCCATTACTAACCTGTCTGGAACAACAGAGTAGGCAGTGTCTAGATGAGCTACATGCATGGTCAAGATTTCCCACCTTGTTCCTTCGCAAACATGGTTTCTGGGACTACAGCATGCCTAAACGTGGGCAGAAGCTCTACTTCTAAGTCATGTACAGAAATCCTGCCCCAAAGTCTTTGAGACAGTCTCACAAGACAAAAATGATAGCAGGTTAAGATGTCACTTCTATAGATTTTGAGTCATAGGATTAACCTAATCTTAGTCAAGTATCATTTTGGGGAATATAAAATGTCAAGAAATATAAATTACATAAGTGAAATCATAGAATCTCCTGTATGTTATCTAAAATGTAGGAGTGTCAAATTCATTTTTTAAAGGTAAAATTCACTATCAAACAGTCTCTAGCAGTATTAAATACAACCAATCTATTTTCTCTCAGGAAACTGGCTTTGAAGGCACCAAGACAATTCTCCTACTTCCTTTCTCCTTCCTGTGTACACTGAGTGGATGGTCAAAGCCATGCAAGTTTGCTTGATAGAGAAAGATTCCTGATGAAGATATCCATTTGGCCCATTTCTAAGAGATGGATGAGGTCTTAGTTAAAAATAACAACTTATGCATGAGTGGGCCGTTTGAATTATAAAAAGACTCTGGTCAGTGAGATTTCCCAACTCTTAGATTATTCAAACAGTAAGAAATATTTAGAGCAGGTCATTCAACTCATAGCACAACCTCATTGACCACGATGGCTACCAAATGGGAATATACTTGAACAGACAACAGATGAGCATGAGGGCTGGGAAAGGACTACTTCCTTTCTGGATGCATGAGGCTTTATTTTAATCACATTTTTTTTTTCAAAGCAGAAAACAAGGATCACTTTTGCTGCAGTGTGGATTTCCCTCATTTATTCAAGAGCTACCACTGACTTAACAAATGTTCTCAGCAGTGAAGAATATATCTTCCAATTTTCTTCCTAGGCACTTGTCATTTTTATATATATATATAAATGGGACTAGTATATTGACTTTATGACAAATGATCAGAAGAATTCTGTCTCTATGCATCTAAATAAAATGAAAATGGTACCTGAAAGTGAAAAAGTGTAAATATCAGTGTAGTTCTATGTACTATTTCTTGGTGAATAAAATTTAAAGATTTTTGCCATGATAAGTGATTTTATACCAGAGGATATATTAAGTTCCCATGGCAATAAAATTTTCTGTGTGGAGAGGAATTCACAACCAAGGAATAGTTAGAAAACCCAGTCCATGGACTCAAAACCAGTGCTAATGGCTTTGATTTCATAAATCAGTCAGGCAGGGACACTTACTAGGAAATTTCCCCACAGACTTCTATTCCCCAAGAGAGATTTTTTAAAAAGTTTTAACAATATCCAAAGGCTCTAAAAGCATTGATTATGGCCAATCTAATTTACTAGAATATAAAACAGTAACTATGAAAAGAACAGTGGATAGCTGTTGCCACGCTGATTACAAAAATTACTGCAATGGCTTTTGTAACTGAATCATCACCTGAAAAAAAATCTACATTTCTGTGGGGAGCAACTGGGAGCAACTCGGACTAGACTAAGTTACTGGAATTAAGACTTATTCTATGCATCTGCTCTCCCACAATATGGCGCTGAGAAGGGAGAAACAGCTTCTACACAGCTGCCTCCAGTTCAACCAATAAACTGTAGGACCTGCTCCTGATTGGAGGAGAGCAGCGTACTTGGCGTGTGGGTAGCAGAGTTGGGATTGGTGGAAGAGGACTATAAAGGAGGAGAGAGACAACATGCACCAGGAACATCTAAGGGGAACATCTATCTGAAGGAACACCTGTGCAGCCCCCGAGAGAGCCGGCCGGCGGTGTGCCGCTCCCCCGCGGAAGTGGGGAAAGTGGCTAGGGGGAACCGCCCTTCCACAGAGGTGGAAGGGTCGGTAGCCAACCCGGGAAGAACCAGCAGCAAACCCGGGGAGGGCCGAGCAGACGAAAGAACAGCGCAGGGTCCTGTGTCGTTCCTCCATGAAGACGGGGAGCAACATAATGGTGCCGTGACTCGGATAGGAAAACCTAAGAGGATAGAAAACCTAGGAGGGAAGAAACGGGAAGAAGTGGGAAAATACTGGAGAGAGAGACTAGCAAAGAGCCTAGGGAAAAGCCGGACAGAAAAGGTGCCGGAAGAAGCTATCAAAAGCCTAGGCATAGACTCAGATACGGACTACGGGGGGAAGCTGGGAGAAATCTCTAAGGTCGAAAGCGAAAGTGAAAGCTAGAACAAACAGACTCAGATACGGACTGTGGGGAGAAGCCAGGAGAAATGAGAGGGGAATGTTGTTGGAAGAAAAGTTAGGAAACATACCGGGTAGAGAAAAATGTTAGGGAGGATGAAGCCGCGGGGGCAGGCCGAGGCGGAGACGTAAGCCAGCTTGGGATTCGTCAAGTCAGCCCAGGGAACAAAAGGCGAAAAGCTAAAACTAGAGGTGGACGCGTAAGCCAGGTTGGAATCCGTCAGATTAGCCTGGGGAGCAAAAGACGGGAAGCCAAACCATAAGGCGGAGACGCGTAAGCTAGGTTGAATTCGCCAGGTTAGCCCGGGGAACTTAGATTGAATACCGGTGGCGGAAACGTAAGCTACGCTGTGTGACTCGCGTAAGCCGCCACGTGCAGAGAGAGCGCGCGGGGCGTGAACAGATAGGGAACGTGGGGCTAGCGCGAAGGCCGTGGTGCGGGCGCGAAGGGGCGCGGAGACCGCGGAGTGCGCGCGCGAAGCCGGGAAGCCGTGCAGATGAGAGAAGCGCGGGCTGAAGCGGCTCAGAGCCGGGAAGGCGCTGAGAAGCAGCCTCGGGGCGGGCGCCGGGAAGCCGCGAAGATAAGAGAAACAGTTTAGAAGTAAAATGAGAGAAATAGGAATGCTGGCAGATAGAAGTAAAATAGGAGAGATAGGAATGCCCGGAGGTAGAGAAATAGGGAAAAATAAGGCCTCCCCACAACACGGCAATGAGAGAGCTTGGATTCGGTCTGCCTGATTAGTAAGACGATAAGCACCTGCGGGCGGCTGCAGGTCACCAAAGATAGGCATGTTATCAACACCAATAAGTCTCCCCACAATACGGCAATGAGAAGGCTTGGATTTGGTTTGCCTGATTGCTAGGGCTTGTAAGCACCTGCAGGCAGTTCTAGCAGAGCAGAGCATGCGCTGCAGGGCACCGAACTCAGGCACGCATCAGCGCCTAAAAACCTCCTCACAACATGGTGAAGAGAGGACCCGGATTCGGTTTGCCTGATTGATAGGGCTTGTAAGCACCTGTGGGCAACTCCAGCAAGCAGAGCAGAGTGTGTGCCGCAGG